CATTATAAAGCTGCCAAATGACAGGAATTACAGTAGGTAGAGTCTTCACGAGCCTAGCGGTCCACAACTGGAGTATCTACTCCCCTGGATGGTATGCTAGTCCATCAAAGGTTACCCCCCCCCCCCCCCCTCCCCAGCATTTTGTCACCAGTAACCATTATACTCCTGGGTGGAGAGAGGCACTGTGAGAGTAAAGTATCTTAACCAAGAACACAACATAGTCACCCCGGTCAGGGCTCAAACCCAGACCACTCGGTCCGGAGTCCAGCATGCTAACCATTAGGCCACCACGTCTCCCACACAGGAATTACAGTAGAACCATGCTAACTTGAACTCCCAAGGGGAATGGGTTTGAGTTCAAGATAGCGGGGAGTTCGAGTTAGCAGGGTAACCTACTGTAGTTGCCCTGTAGTTGAAATTACAGTTATTTTTTGTTTGAATATAATATTTTATCTTCCGACTCTTAACAACAAAACCTTCAAATTATTTGATACAACACAATTTGTAACAAAACAGTGTTACAGTGTGACTACTATTACCAGGGGTCACTCAAACAAAATTGACCAATCAGATTACAGGGCACGAACAATGAAGTCCAACTAAAGTCATTTGAACTATAAATCTCAAGCAGTCATATGGAAAACTGATTGGTTTTAACAACTTCAGTTGGAATTCATTGTTTGTGCCCTGTAATCTGATTGGTCAATTTTGTTTGACTGACTGTGGTAATAGTAGTAGCACTGTAAGTTACATCAAATGTCAAAGTATTCATCATTAGGTAATAGTCTAAAGTGTAAATATGTTAATAAAAGTAATCATGACTCATGATATCAGTTCAATTTCAACTCACAAACATTGTGTCTAATCAACATTGGCAAATTAAACAAGCTGTTCGCAGAGTAAAATCATCTCAGACACGAAGATGATTATATCTAGCTAGTGCTGACTAATTCCATGTGCATTCCAATATCCATAATGGAAATTAAATTGCAAAATCTCCTTCTTAATTTTATATTTAAATGTTCCATGTTTCTCGTTATCTACGATAAGCTTTACCACTCCTTGTCCATCTCCTAGCTCCTTTGTAAATCCTTGGCGGTCCTCAAATTGATTGAACAGAACACATAATCTTCTCATATTTGTAAATGTCATTGTCACCGAACCATGTTTCTCCAAAACATCTACACCATAACTTGTGCGATAACGATTAACAATGCCTTTGTGTAAAAGGGTGAACACTTCCTGCGGCATTGGAACATCAAAGCGGACGATCCAAGGATGGAGGTAACTCATCTGTGGAGTAAGGCGTCGATTAATTCCATTCTTAGCACGTATCATTATACGTTCCAACATTGGATACACAAGAGTTATTTCATGCTCGTGTCGATGGCGAAGCGGTCCAAATTTGCCTTTCACAATGGCTTCTGCGAACTGATCTAGCTCCTGGAATGTTTTATCTAGATCGCTTAACTTGTGCACATTAGAAATTTTACTTTGAAATTGCGATTTCTGGCGTTCTAATGCACCTTTAACTCCATTAATCACTTGTTGTTCGTTGTCTTCTTCGTCTGTGTCACTTCGGGCCGCCATCTTGGATGTGTGTACAACGGCCCAGGTCTCGCGCGGTCGAAAACGTGTCGCGCAGCAACGAATAGCCCGGGAAAAGGCGGGAAAAATAGACGGGATCCAGACTCAAGTATGACAGTCGTATAAAGACCAAAACTAAATTAGTCAAATTTGACCAATGTGGACCTTGTGAACCATTACTGCCTTGTTGACCTTGCAGACCGATTGGACCTGGGCCCTGTAGACCGACCGAACCATGAGGACCTTGTATACCCTGTAGACCTCGTGAACCATTATATCCTTGTGGACCTTGTAGACCGATTGGACCTGGGACACTTTGTGATCCATTGAATCCTGGCCAGCCTTGTTCTCCTACAAGTCCTTGACAGCAGTTGTGGCTATAGAAGGACCAATACATTCCTGTACTTTACTGAGGTTCCTTACCTACCATTGAAAGGTAAAGTATGTTGGACTCTTTTTCAGTGTTACTGTATTGACGGTCATTATTCTTTTAAGGACGGTGCCTCCTAATACCAAAGTATTTTTGCGCGGTTTATGACTATGCGGGAAAAGCAGATCTTAGCAAGGGCTATTGGATTCCAAAAAGAAAATTTGGGGTAACCACGCATTTTTCTGAGATAATCAAGCTTCAATCTGGAAAAAAATGCAGAAATAGCATTTTCTCGGAAAAAAAGAAAAACATATTTTGTCGCAGATTCCCTTTGAATTTGCCTTGACATACACGAAAGCAACAATAAATATAAAAAAGCTTTAAAATACTTAACAAATGGTAATATAACAACTACTGTTTATGTGTTTTTTAATTAAAAATCATCGTAACGTAGCCATTATCAACCCTGACAGCTCTCCTCTGGTATACCAAAAATACAGTCTAAATAACTTTTGCACACAACAAAAAATTAATCATATGTTTAATAGGCTTACCGCTTCCATTTTATAACATAAAAAGTAGGGGTCACCACGCGTTTTTGTAAGTTATATGAAGAAAACGACCATATATTTCCCTGCCGAGCTTAGCCTTAAAGGTCAAATGCAACAAAATTTTAGAAAGATTAGTTTTAAGTCGAAATAATAGGGAATATTATGAATAATCATATTCTTAAGTTTGAAAACGATTTGGACAAAACGTCGTCGAGATATTCGACTTTCAAAACCCCTTTTTTTTTTCGCTTCCACAAACGGAAGCGTTCGGGCAAACTTCGGAAAATTATCGGAAATGGGAAGCTCCACCACATATGACGTCACATACACGCGCGAGTCCGCGAGAAGAGCGAGAATTACAAAATTCTGCAGTTTCAAAACATCAACAAGTATGGTGTTTTGTGCTGCTTTTAACTGTAGTAACTGTTCAAAATCAGGCGTAAGCTTTTTTACATTCCCTAAAGACGAGAAGAGATGCAAGGAATGGGTTGAGATTAATGAAAAGGAAAGATTTCACGCCAACTGCAGCATCTCGTCTTTGCTCCGTGCATTTCTCCCCTGAAAGCTTCGAGCAGAATCTTGAGTTAGGGCACACCTGGGATCTCAGTTCAAGCCACGAAGACTTCGACTGAAAGCTGATGCTTTACCGACCATTTTCAACTATGGAATAAAGCGAAGTATTGACCAAGAATGTCCTTCAAAAAGCACGACGAACACGGAATGCGGTCGTTCACGACGTTCAGCCTTTGCGAAACGCAGAAAGCTAAAGGTATAAAGTCGCAAACTTTCTTGTATCAGGTTTGATTTGACAGATGCACAAACTACTTTTCTAATCTGAACTTACAATAAAAAGGCCGGCAAATAACGTTTTTATTTGTTTCCTACGTGCATGGTTCTGTGATGCTAGAAATCTTGAAAATCTGTTTTTATTAACGCAAGGTCGCTATAAACACTACCGAAGAAATAAAACTTAAGTTAATGAATCCAAAATAACAAGAAACTCGGACGATTAATTTCTTATACCGAAATATGTAATTACAGAAAGGTACGTAGCTGCGAAGAACAGACGATGTTGCCTCGAACAGAATTTCACCACTAAAAGCAGCTGAAATGAGAAGCTATTTCAAATAAACACAAAAACCATTCAAAGTCGCAACCGGCAAGTTTTAGGACAATCTTCATTCTTCAATACTCTTGAAAGCATTTTTCGAGTAAAACTGTTTCCTCAGTTTTCTACAATTTCATTTCCCGTGTTAATCTAATTTTGCATTCGGTCGGGTGGCAATTTACAATTTTCATTTTATGCGAAGCCTCGCCAAACTCAATTCAAGCTTGCATTCAATTTCAACGTACGGCGCAACTATAAATTTATACTTGTCGAGAATTATTTCTGCCGGGACTACCGGTATCACTAGGTTCTTTCTTGAATGAAACTTAAACGGAAGGTTTGTTTAGTAAAAAGGAGAAACGAAAAGCAAATGATTAAAACTAAGGAATTGAGTCTAAACACGGAGATTGTAATTTAAAAACGGTAAGCTAGCTAGCGCGGGCGGTGAAACTCAGGATTTCCAAAACAACAACAAACTCAAATTCTGTCGGTTAAAATCAAATGAGCACTCGCCTTTTTGAAGAAATGCAAGTTCTTTAATTCCACTGCGTAGTTCTCCATTCACGTGTCAATGATAAGAGAGCAATATAATGTGAGAAATTCAGTAAAAGCTTCTTCGCATCGACCTTCACACATTGCTGAAAACACGCGCGAAAACACGCGCGTGAAAACAAGCTCACCACATATGACATCACAAAAACAGCAAATTCGTTTCCATTCCAAGCGCGGTCATTCCTGGTTCGTTTTCGTTAAGCCGTCGGAAATTCTCGGAAATTATCGAATTTCGTGCCTTATAAGCGCCACAAATCGCCCCAAACCAGCTTTTGAGGGTTGAGTATGATTGATGCTAGTATAAAGAACGGTTTTCGCGACAAAAGAAAAAAATGCCAAATTTCGTTGCATTTGACCTTTAAAGAGATTTTGCAATGTTCTGTATGTGCGCGCGCTCGAGCGCGCGCTAATGACGCGAGAAATTATGCGCAGAACGTATGCGCAGTAATAATAGGAGGCACCATCCTTAAGTGTTTAAAGAATAAGAATATTGACGATAAATTCGCCGTCATATGAAGGACAACACAAAGTAAAGTGCGCCCTTCGAAAGGTAGAGTCCTCCCCGCGTTGTCAGTGGTCGGACATTTTAAGATGGATGGCTTCCGTACGATTACAGTCGAACCTCCATTAAGCGGACACCCTCGAGACCAGAGAAAGTTTCCGCCGCTAAGTGTCCGTTTACGAGAGTTATCCGCCTACGGGAGGTGTCCGTTAACGGAGGTTTGACTGTACTTATGAGTATGATTTAATTGAATGAAATGATCCTCGCAGTGTGTAAGCAATTTTAAACAATTACTTGTATTAGCCTGAAAAACATTATCCCATTGTATCAGGCTTCATAGTTCAGTTAGTAGAGCATCGCATCGGTATCGCGGAGGTCATGGGCCCGGTCATGGGTTCGAATCCCGTTGTAGCCTTCGAAATTTATTTCATGCTAAGACAGCATTTGCTCAAAATTTGCTTGAACACTGTAGTGTGAGGATCATTTCAATTCATTCATTTTATCTTTAATCCGCAGTTCACATATGTCTTCAATTCATTTATTCATTACGTCATTATGATGATTAGACTGATGTACTAAGAAGCATCTACATAGTCTTTTCCGCGGTTTCCTGCAATAACACAACACAAGACCAGGCTCTAGAGCTCTTGATCCGGAATCCATGCAAAGCTCTGAGCATTACGCCCAGCCATCGTTGCCTGCTTCCCGTCCAGATTAAAGGAACTCTTTATTATCAGTTCAACTTCAGTAAAGTAACGTTACCATGTATTTTATAAAACATATCCAACAGTGTCTTACCATTATCGATAAGTTGCGACATTTAATATCAATAATTCTGAGGGCTTCCCAAACCTCTTTAAGTTCATTTGTTTTGAACTCCTGGAGATGGATAATTAAATCAAGAAGATACAGTATTAGATAGGATTAATAGAAAAGCAAATGTAAAGGAAGATTATTATTCAACATGTCCATATATGGTAAAGAAGCCGGTCCGTACATGACAGATACCCTGCGGTGTATGTAGTTTGCTATATTTGGAAGTGCACTCAACTGAGAAGGCTTGCCCTGCATATTGGAAAGTGCCGCTGAGTTTGAGAGGACTTTTGGGACATTTCGATGCTTTCATTTTGCGGACTTGTGGACAATTTGTTTGGATAATAAAACGATTATCCTGCGCAATCTTGCAGAATATCAGTATCAGTTAAAATTAAATATTTTCATATAGATGCTAATTTTATCGTAAGTAATCCAAAACCAAAACCATGTTTTTGTAATTGGTTGACATATATTTCTTTAAATGATCGATAGTCCTGAAATTTTGGTGGTTTGTCAATACAGTGGTTGCATGTCTTTCTCTATGTTTATCCTCGTCTCCTCGTATGCTTGATGAAAAGGGGAACATTTTTTACCACCTACAGTTTTATCAGTTACATTTTATTACATTCTTTAAGGTGTTCTCACCAAAGCATCTTGCATTCTTGTCATGTTCTCTTGAAGGAACTCGAGTCGTTTATTGTCCCTGAGTTGCCGTTAATTAGTGGAGAAGAAGATTGTGCCTCCGAAGTTGCAGATTCCGACACTGGGAACATAAAATAAAGTCCCGTTATACAATAACTGAGATGCTGCGCGTGTTGTGATTCGTCCTTGCTTATTTATGATCTATCAGTCGACAGACGCATATATGACGTCACTGCGTGGTGTGACTCGTGCGCGTGTGAATTCGGGAACGTTTTTTGACGTCATCTGTGCAATCTACAACTAGACAGACAACGGTAAAATGGAATAAAGGACTATTTGTTGCAGAGCTTACCGCCAAACGTTCAAACAGTCCTAAATTAATAAAGAGATGATTGCAGAATGTTTTTGTACTGTATGATATATTAAACAGAAGTATATCAAGGAATTAATTATTCAATGAATCGTGGAACAACAGTCGTGAGTTGGTGCATCAGTTTTGATGCTGTGAACTTATTTGTAAACAGTGGTCAGTATCAATAAGTACTGCTTAAGGCAAATAGGAAATCGTTGGAAGCTTGGGAGAGTCAAAAGTAAAAAGGTTATTTGAAAAAGAAGCTGTGGACATAGCATTGATATTCTAATGCAACAAAACGGCTCTTTCATTTAATTAGTGTTCATGCGTAAATACATTATTCTATTAGTTACGTATTGATAAACTTCATTTTAGAAAGGCCATGCTCAGTATTGAGCGCGAACAATTATAATTATCATTTACTAGTGCTTTCTAGTTTATCTAGGGAAGAATGCCGAATTCGAAAGAAATTCAAACAAATAAACCTTCGCGTATATGTGCCTTAGTTTGTTTTAGTCAAACATCGAGAACAAGTATTGCTTGAAGTCATTTTCTTTCACAACATGCTTAGTACCAAACTCGAAAACATAAATCTCAGAAGCGTTTTCTAATGTTTCATTGTAAAATAATTTAGTGGTAAATAAAAGCAATGTCTCTTGTTGATGATTGCAGTTAAATTCTCCGCTCATATCTTTTTTGTAATGTATTGGAATTGTAAGGAGAAATTAGATCGATGTATCTTGCGAGGTTTAATCTTACAAAACCGGTTGAATGACTGATGAACGGGAACAAAGAATGTGCCAATCGTATTATTATATGGTATCTATGGCATGCTGTCCATAAGTGGCTCTGCTCATTGTCAACACTCTAACAAAGTAATCAGCTGGAGTTAATTTGTCATAATTAATAAAGAGAAATGGATTAAGGTAATTCGACATTCAATTTTCAAAATATTAAATATTATATATAATCTAAAGTAAATTGGAAAAGTTCTATTTCGAGAGTTTTTATAATAGAGTTTTGTGTATATAGTAAGCAGAAGTCCACATAACTTTTTCATACGGACTGTGTAAATAGTTTGGTAAACTATAAACGAAATAATGAACTTTCTGTTATAGCAATGCTTATATCATCCATCACGGAAGCACATCTAGCCTACCTTGCTTCTGTAGCTCTCCCATCGTAGCCGAGCAGCTACACCTGTTATCGATTTTCCCAAAGATCATTGCGACGGTCAAAACAAATGTTATTATTGACAAGAAGCACACGAAGGACATGAACGCTAACAGAAAACGTTTGGAACTGAGAACATTGCTCGTTTTGCCGACGACTTCCACGTCTCCTGCCTGGTTTGTCGCCGCGAGATCATCTTCGATTCCTTCGTCGACCTGATAAGCTTCCCTTCTTCCCGCTGGTGTGTTTCGTAGATTTCCTCGCAAAGGTTAAGCCTTTACACCTGCATTGCAGCCTTTTATATTAAAACAATAAGGGAATTAAATTTCCCCGCTTTGTTTTAATACCAGTCTTTATTGTGTGTTAATATTGAAACACATATAGTGTGTTTCAATATATAAATTTTCGGCATATTTTTCCCATGATGGGAGATATAAGACAGCATAAAATCTTATCGAAAGGGTGAAGATTATGAGATTCTGTTTCAAGTGAAATATCTTGTACCTCATTGTTGTTTGATCATATAAGCCGTGTCAATTTAGTTTTTCGGAAAATAAATTGGTTTTAACTTGAAAAATCAGTTTATAGAATAGTAACATGACTGTAATATCTGGAATTTTTAATTGATAGTGGTACGGGAGGGGGGGGGGGGGGGGGATGAAGTGGTTTGTCATAGTTTACAGGATGTACTCTACCAGATTTCAACATTGTTTTGCCACGTTCTCGGATGAAATTGTCTCGTTTAAGCAGTCTAACTTCATTGATCAAAATATGATGTTTAACTGTGGTTTAACTAGTCATTTTCTATTTGATAATTGTTTAAAATGTGTTATCTTGATAACAGGCGTTAGTTGAAAGAGGCTGTTTCTAAAAAGGAATCATGCGATTCGCTTGAACTATATTTGACGTATTCGTGATAAAAATAGGTATATAGCCATGGGGGAAATTGAACTTTAACTAAGGTAGAAAAGTAGCAAAGAAGTAAGCCAAAAAGGAACAAGGATGGTTAAGATTAAGGAAGAATGACACGGATTACGAACGACGAACTTGAAAAAATTAGGCTAAATTTTCAAGGTAATGTCATCCGTAACCATAAGTAGCAAAACAAACAACAAGCCACCGAATTACAAATTAAATTAGTTAAATATCTCATTCCTTTGTTTTTGCATGTGTTCGTCGAAAACAATTCTTTAACACAATTTCTAGGAATAGTCATGCCTAAGTTGATATAATATGGGCTCTTTTGACTGAACCATGCAGTGAGCATGGGCACTTTTGTTTGGTCACGTTACCAAGCAACAGAGCATAAATAAAGCCCTTGAATCGGGTCTGGTCCTCTTAGCTTCCACTGGAGCATAAGGCATCAACAATGCCAGGACTTCCCTGTCTATTTTATTTCTGTTTCCATCGTTCTTCTCCATGTGCCTAGTTGTCTGCCCCGATTCCTTTTGCCAGATGGTGTCCATTCCCATGCAGTATATGGGTACCTTGATGTATTCATCCGCAGAACATAAGTGGCCCATTCATCTCCGTCAGTGATATTGATAGAGTACATGCAGAAATTTCCTGGCTCCCAGTGTATTGTCAAGATCCATCTAAGGCATCTTCCTCCAATCCCTCTGAGTCGGCTCTCAATCGTCTTGCTAATTCTCTTTTGAAAAGTCTGCGAGAAGGCCATATCCTAGATGAACCGAGCACATGCCTTTGTTTAGTTATTAAAATCTCATTGTGATGAAAATTAACAAAATCATCAACTAGGCTGGATACTGTCTTGATGTACCAACACATTCTCAGGACTTACATAAAGACAAATATACGCCAATCAGTAAGGAGAATTGACATATCGATCTTGGGACTACAAGAGTTAAACCGAGGTAAACTGGAACTGAACACTATGCAGTGATCGTGATGACTGCAAAGTGTTGGGACACTATCATGGCGTCTCCGGCAGTAATTTACTCATCTCGCTCTTGATTTAATTCTTCACTCAGAATTGATGTTTATTAGAATGTTGGTGCAAAAGTTTTGAAATATCAGTTAATTTCCAACATTTTTCGGGAATCAATACCGATCGTTGCGATCGTTGCAATTATATGGAAACCGGGCTGTTGCGATCCTTGCAGGCTTTAGATTTACTCAAGAGAATATGAAGGGTAAGAGAGGTAATGTCCCATACATGGGTCATTTCTATGATAATCCATCTGATGCTATTTTTAGATCATTATCGTTACCAGTGCACCTCGGATAATTTGTCTTCGCGCGCGTTGCGTGGGTGTTTCGTGCAGTGCTTACATGAAGGCGAAATGAGGAGTACACTCCAGGAGCGTTTCGGTTTGTGGAAGCAAATTCGAAACGGAGAAAGGAAGAGACAAGTTTCTGTGAAAAAGAATGTTCTAGTGAAGTATTTATTTTACTGAAGGTAAGATAATTCA